TATTTTTATTTCCTTATTTAATTATTTTGCTTAATTATTTTTTCACAAAAATTAATCACTTTTTTTATAAAATCATAAAATCAAGAATTCACAAAATTAGAATTAGGTTTTTATTAAATTTAATTTTTAATTAATTAGCTTAATGTAATTTAGGGCAATTTAATTCTTCTTTTCACAATTAAAAACAATTAGAAAATTAGGTTTAAATTCTTGATTTAATTATTTCCTTTTTCCAAATAAAAACATAAAAAATAGGTTAACTTAATTATTTTTCTTAATTAAAGTTAATTAGTAATTAGGTTCTTTTTTTAATTCAATTATTCCTTATTTTCTCAAAATAACAAAAGCGACAAATTTTTTTTTTCTTTGATCAACCGCAAGTAGGGTTAGTCAAAGGGTCAAAATCCTAATCGCCTCGCATTTAATTATTTAATTATTTTTTGTAACTGTTTTTAGGATGTAATAGTTTTAACTAGGGTTTTTACTTATCGTTTTTCCCCGATTTTTGGTTATGTAATTAATCCCCCTCCCCGAAGCCTTGTAATAGTTAGGTTTTATATTTTCGCACTTTTAAATTTCCGCAATTATTAACTGTTAGATGAATGCTAATAGGATTGTATGGCAAGAATGCATGACAAAATTAAAATGGTTAAAAAACCCTAATGTGCAAAGATAATAAATTGAAAATAAATCACTCACACATATTCACTCTTAGGGTGCCCTCCCGTCTAAAAAGATCAAATGTCCCATTCGAATGTGGCCTCGGAAATGTTGCCTCCGAAATGTTGCCTCGGAAATGTTGCCTCGGAAATATTTTCTCGAAAAAGATCTTAAGACTCTAGGGTTAATACTAAGGTGTCCTAATATTGCTTTAGTGATTGTACTCGTCCCTTTCGAATTGACCCTTACAAATTCCAAAGACGGTGCTACCTATTTCTCAATAGTGGGATAGCGCTGTCTAAAGGAAACAAGAATATAAACAATATTTTTTCGAGTAGGTAGATGCTAGTAGGTACTTGCTCAAATCAAAACTTTTCACACTTACACTTTTCAAACAAATGTACAAAACAACTTCGTCACACCTTGAGGACTGATACAAGAGTTATCACGAAGTAAAACATTTTTCAAAAACAAAGCACACAAACACAAGCAATTTAAAAATGAGCAAGTACCTAAGAGCCCATGGAAAACCATGGATAGAAAGGGTGCTAATACCTTCCCTTTCTATAATCTACCCCCCGTACTCAAAATCTCGAAAAAGGATTTTTTTCTGTATTTTTTTCCTTTCTGGTTGGATGAAATAAAAGTCGGTGGCGACTCTTGCTTACCGCGAAATTTTTGCAGATAAAAAATGAAAAACGCAAACCAGTATTAAACAGTCGGTTCTGCCACCGTATCACAAATGACTTTAGTATAAAGTTATGGACATACCTAGTTAAGAGAAAGGATGAGGTATTTGAAGTGTTTAAGAAGTTTAAGTCTATGGTTTAGAGGTAAAGCCGTCACAAGCTTAAAATTATCAAAATGGATGATGGAGGTGAATATGTCTTAAATAACTTTGGGAAGTATTGTGATGGATGGGGGATAATGCATGAGGTTGTACCACCCTATATAACTCAGCAAAATGGTGTTTTCGAGAGGAAAAAGCGATCGATCATGAACATGGTGAGAAGGATGGTAAAGGGGAAAATTTTCCGAAAGAGCTATGGGGAGAAGCCGGTTTCACAACTTCTTATTTGTTGAATAGGTGCCCTACGAAAAAGCCTAAGAAGCTAACTCCAGAAGAGATGTGGTTTAGATTCAAACTGAATCTAAAACATTTGAGAGTTTTTGATTCAGTAGCATATCGACATATTTCAGGTCAGCTTAGAAAGAAGTTGGATGACAAGGGTGAGATGATGTTAATTGTTAGGTATCATCTTACTGGTGGTTATAAGTTGTTTGATGTTGAAAATAAGAGGATCGTGATCAACCAGGATGTCATTGTCGATGATCTGAAGCGCGTCAAGCTGCCTGAAAAATGTTGTCAACAACATGTAACTAGTCACCAGAATGAATTTTTGAATTCTAACAGTTTGGAACAATTGCGCGTCATAGCTCGAACAGAGGAAAATGTTAGACGACCAACTAGGAAGAGAGGTTTTCCTCAAAGACTCCAAGATTGTGAGATATTCTGGGATAACGTGATCAATGATGATGGTGATTTCGTTCACTTTGTGCTTATGGCTGAATTTGAGGCCTTTAATACAGAAGAGGTATTAAGTGATCCAAAGTGAGTGTGTGCAATGAAAGAGGAGCTAAAATCGACTGAGAAAAAATGTACCTGGGAGATGTTTGATCCTCTAAAAGGTAAGAAGCCAATTGGTGTGAGATGGGTCTACAAAGTAAAGGCAAATCCCAAAGGTGAGATAATCAAGCATAAGGCTCGATTAGTTACGAAGGGTTTTTTGCAAAGAGAAGGTAAGACTTTGATGATATGTTTGCACCAATTGCTAGACTTGAAACCATACGATTGGTTGTTGGTATTACGAATAACAATAATTGGTTGATCTATCAAATAGATGTGAAATTCACGTTTTTGAATGGTCTGCTTGAAGAAGAGGTATATGTAGAATAACCCTCTGGTTTTATTGTGAAAAATCAAGAGAATAGGTTCTACAAGTTAATAAAAACGTTATATGGTTTGAAGCAAGCTCCGAGAGTTTATAAACAAACTGATAAATGGTTTTCTAGTTGATGTTGCCTTCAAGAAATGTGTGTCCGAGCATGCAGTTTATGTGAAGTTGGACGTAAGTGAAGGTGTGATCATACTTTGTCTATATGGGGATGATTTGTTGATCAAAGGCAGCAATAAGTTGAGTATTTCTAATTTCAAATGAGAACTTATGAAAGAATTTGAAATGAGTGACCTTTGGATTATGACATACTTCTTTGACATGGAGCTTCATAAGTAAAAAATGGGACAACTCATGCATCAAAGGGGATATGCTCTTGAAATCTTGAAAATATGTGATATGGAGCATTGTAATTCTACCATAACACCATCTGAAGGAAGGTTGCAACTGTCCAAAAGTGAGGATGATCATAATGTAGATCATACTAATATAAGATATTGATTGGATCGTTACATTACTTATGCAATACGCGTAGATTCATGGAGATACTGAAGGTGTCTCACTTGGAAATAGTCAAAAGAATTCTAAGATAGGTCAAAGGATCTATTGACTGCGGAATTCTCTTTCCCGCAGCAGATACGGGCAACAAATGAAATTTTCTCGATTTTACGGATTCCAATTGGCACGGAGATAAAGATGATTGTAAGTCTACAGTCGGGTACATCTTTATGTTCGGAGAAGCACCAATCTCATGGTTTTCTAAGAAGGAACCGGTAGTTACACTCTCGTCTTGTGAGGCCGAGTATATTACCGCGTTGTTATGTGTGTGTCAATCTGTATGGCTAATGACTTTACTGCAGGAGCTGGGCAACAATGAGAGTGATGTTGTCACACTCTTGGTTGATAATGTTTCAGCCATTAATCTTTTTAAGAACCCAATTGCACATGGGAGGAGCAAGCATATTGATATGAGGTTTTACTACTTGGGGGATCTTGTGAGTGAATGCAAGTTAAGATTGAGATATTGTAGGAGTGAAGACCAAGTTGCTGATTTGTTGACAAAAGGAGTCACAAATGATGTGTTCAAGAGATTAAAGATGAGCATGAGAATGTAAAACTTGGAGCGTTTGAATTAAGATGATGTGTTAGTTTAAAATAATAATTCAAGTGGGTGTAGCAAGTCACTGGAGGTTGATGACAGGTTACAACTTCTGAAATAAGCACTTCTGAAAAGCAAAAAAGCAGTTTTTCAATTTGGTAACCGGTTACATGTAGACAAATTTGGATAATTTGCTTCTGTTAGTTACAATGGTAATCGGTTACATGAAATGATGTAATCGGTTACAAGCCCGAGTTTTTGTGGTTTCAACTTGTTTATTTGATGTTTTTAGCTCCCAGTTAATATAACTTGCTTGTATAAAAATCTTTTGTGGTATAATATGCAAAATTAATGATAATTTCTCTTCTCACTGTCAATTACTCTCTCTCACTCTAATTCTCTTATTTTCTCACTTCATCTTCTCTACAAACATCAAAACCTTCATTGATTCACCAATTAAATTTCATGTTCTAACAAATTTCTATATCAATTTTACAAGAATGTGAATAGACATAAATATTTTTATATATAAACATTTTTAAAATATTTTTTATGGCTCTATTTGATAAGAGAATTTTTATGGCTCTATTTGATATCTATCATTTTTATTGACTATATATCTTATTTTAATAAGCTAATTCAAGTTATTTTATAATTTGCAATTTTTCCTTTCAAATTTACCTTCTTAATTTTAATTAGAATAATTTGTTAAAGTTTTTTTCATTTCATATTTATAAATTATTTCATATTTATAAATTATTTCATCGCTAATTTTATTAATCATTACAAATTCAATCAAAAAAAGTTATATGCAATCTTTGTCAACTACTATTGTAGTAATTGATAAATCATCCTCTATAAGTCCGTCCTCAATAATTTGTTAATCAATCTTTATAATTTTTCTTCTAATAAGCAAATGAAGTGATAAAGATATCTGGAACATACACATACTAGTACAATTTGTAGACTTGAACTAATAATACACTCCTTCCGTTTTAAAGAAAACAATTTGTTTTAAAATAAATATTATTTTTATTTTTTAATATAATAATCATAGTTATTTTCTCAATTATGTCATATAATTATTATTTTGTATACTATTTCTAATATATTAATAAAATTAATTTAATAAAAATATAATATCTCATAATAATATAATTACATTCTTTAATTTATATACAAAAACTTTAAACAGTATTCAGTTTAAAACAAAAGGAGTCCTATTAAAAATCATTTCACAGTTACTATATTGTCTGTTTTTAGAAAAAGAAGCAGAAAGATGAACTATGAAAAGACGAGCAGGAGATGTAATAAGAACTTCATCATTGAATAGGCCAGTTGGAGCTAGAGCTCGGGAAGTAGCTGAAGAATTTATCTCAAACAATCCCTTTTTCACAATTTCGATCAAGCCTGCTTATCTGACAGCAGATCGGCCGGTAAGGTTAAACACAAGTGATTTACATTATTCATGCAATGCTATAATATATGCATGTTAGTTATGTTGTATAGTTGTGATTATAAATTATATATACAATGCAGTATGTACCAAATTTACAAAGGGTTATTGAGAACAAGAAGAGGAATGTGATGATTCAGATTGGTGAAAGATCCTGGAATCTGAAGTTGCTTCCTTGTTCCAATAATATAAGGAGCCGTCGGCTTTCGGCTGGTTGGTCCTTGTTTGCAAGGGAAAGTGGTTTGCAGCCGGGAGATGTTTGCATCTTTGAACTGATAAACAAGAAAGATTTAGTTTTTAAAGTTCATGTTTTTTAAAAGGACTGTTAATGGACCTGTATCTGTTTGAAGGTGTTATTTTGAGTGAGGTGAAGTAATGTTCAACTTTGGTTGTAAATGTGTTAATTTTGAAATATTTGAAGAAAATTTAATATGAAAATAAAACAAACTCATCTGATTTAGAATTCAATTAATTTTCTATTGAAGAAGTAGAGGAAGTAAGCCACTCGGAAGTTAGACCGTGACATAATTCTCGCTCAAGTAGAATTTGAATATTCTGCAAGAAAATCTTGAGCATTCCGTTTCAAGTAGAATTCGAGTGCTCTGCAAACAATTTTGCAAACATTTTTTAGCATCATCAGAATAGATGATCCATTATAATTTACACTCTTAGAATAAGTGTTGTAGAGTTGACTAGCACCTCTGGTCTGTATTATATTTTGTTTTTGATAATTTAAATACTTTGCAAGACCATCTCGAGCATCCTCTTCAAGTAGAATTCGAATTCTCTGGAGGACAATCTTGATCATAATAGAGATAGATGATCCATTTCAATCTACACCTTTAGAACGAGTGTTGTAGAGTTGGCCAACATTTTTATCTTGACTATTATGTTTATTTTATTTTATTTTTCAGATAAATGGATGATCTCTCTAATGTGTGCCCAATCACTTTTTTAGATAAGCAACATGTGTTAATAGACATAAGAAGTGCAAAAAAAAAAAATACAAAAACACAAGAGGCTACAAGGACACCCCAAGACAACTCCAACAACACCCACTACAAACCAACTTACAACAAAGGAGTGGATAACAAAACCTCAACAAAACCCACTCCCCCTTTATCAAAAATTAACAATCAATTCCAACCAAATTTTTTAATGAAAGATAAAACATCATCACACTTTCAAACCTTAGTCAAGAACACCACTTGGTTTCTAAATAATCACAAACCCCAACAAACTAGTAACCAAAGAAAAGAAACAAAAGACAGATGTATGAAACAACAAAAAAATATCCTTAAGCTTCAACAAAAAATCAAAAAAATATACTTAAGCTTCAACAAAAAATCAACCGACAAAAAAGCTTCTTCCGAACCAACAACCTCAAAAGTCTCAACTGACATCACCTCCAACCAACGGAATACCGTCTGCCACACCGAATTAGAAAAAATGCAAGAAAAAATGAGATGCCCACAAGAATCTCCAAAAGAAGCACACAAAGAACACAAATTATTCAACATAAAATTAGATATACCTCTCAAACAAAGCTCTCGTTTGATAGGAAGACTATTCAACAATAATTTGTTTAATCACTCGAATGAACGTGGCATATGTGTTGGCTGAAGATTTTGATGATATTGTTCGAAGCGAAGCAAGTTGGATGTTTCGATTGGAATAAAGCAAGATGTCATGTTTCGAAATGGTAGAAGCAGTGCTTCGAATGGGCATGTCAAAACTCTGAGCTTCGAGTGACAGTTATGTGGATATATTCAAAGAAGTCTCGAAGTGGTAACAAGGCTGTGTCCAAGAAATGAGTTCGAAACGAAGAGTGCCAAAACATTTGAAATTCAAACGCAAGCGGGATGTTTGAAATTTAAAATATGTGCGCTGGAGCATTCGAACACGCGTGGAAGCTAGAGAGGGGCATTGTTTTGCATGTTCTGAACGTGGCAGGATCTTATAGCAAGACCGTTATGGTCGAAGTAGTATAAATAGAAGTCTTAGCGTTAGGATTTCGTGTGTCATATCTATTGTACAAAAATTTAGTAAACATTCAAAATACCACATGGCTAGGGAAAGGAATGCACGAACAATGTACGTATGATAACACCAAATGTTTATGATTCAATAAAACTCTTTATCATTTCCAGTCTTTTCCTCTATCTTCATGTCAATATCTTTCAAAAGTCTTTACATTAAAATATTTTCATTCGAAGTCTTTTTACTGATGCCTTACATTTAAATGTTTTCTTTCCATTTCAAATCCTTTACATTTAAGAAACTTTTGTATATTTCATGCCTTTATCTTCATGCTTTTATCATTCGAATACCTTTTTCATTTAAAGTCATTTTACTGATTTCTTGCATTTAAACGCTTTCTTCATATTTCGAATCTTTTACATTCCAGAAACGCTTTTACATTACATGTTTTTATGCTTCAAAGTCATTTACTTGTCTTTTCTGCAGTTTTATATGTCTTTACAATTGAACTTTATTCATGCAATTTAGTTTCGCACGTATTTACTTGATCATGTCATTAGATCTTTAATAGAGTAATCGAAGTAAGTTGAACACCTACACAACATTCTAAATACCAACCATGAATATCAGTTCTATAATGAGAATTATCCAAATGACCAATACATCCTAGGATCAATCTAGTCGATCCTGCAAGTTATCAGAGAGATTAAATAACAGTCATTAAGATTATTTGATAGTTTGGAGGACTAGCGGTTGTTTACCAGAAATCACTGTAAACAAATTGGCACACCTGGTGGGACGCGTCATTGGCCATTACGAAATTTAGAACAAAGTAAAAATTGTTGAGACGTAACCATTGTAAAAGTACTTTCTGAGGGATAAGTTTGTTGTTTTATGAACCTTAGAAGTGGTAGAATAACCAAAGGCAACCAACCCTTACCCAGAAGAAAACGTTTAAACAAGATGTCTAATTCTGATAATCAACAAGGGGAACAAAATATCCCACATACAACAGGCACTAATATGCCCGCTTCGATGGGAACTTCTAATGCAATCCCTTCGAACGCACAGTCTGTTGCATCCTCTACCAGTAGTGTAGCCACTAATGGAACAAGTGGCATATCAACCAACAGTTCGATCCTAGAAAATACTGGAACCATTGGTTATCCTGGGGGATTCGTCCCACCACCAGGGACACAAACCCATTTCGCCACCCCACTAACTAGACCACCCGATTTCGATGGTAACAGAACCAGAAAGTCCTCTTATGGAATGCCAACATCTTTTATGACAGGCTTACACAATTCCACATCGAATTCATCACCACAATTAGGGTCTGGGTCTAGGGAAAATCAATTTATGACAAATAACCAAGGGTCAGTGGGTTACAGTGCAGTGCCTATCTTAACCACAGAAAATCGGTTGGCCTTTAGGCAATTAATGGATGACAGTAACCATAATATGATAGGAGTGTTAGCACAAACTATGCAGGAAATATTTTCCCCAATAGTACAAAATGTAACTGTGACAAACAGAGAAAACGCAGATAACATGAGTCGAATAGCAGATTTTTTCGCTCCCCCAGAAAGGCGTAGGCAGAATTAGGCAGGAGTTCGAGCAAACGTACCTGTTATAGAACAAGTTGCTAACGACCCACCCTATAGACCAGCCAGAGAGGAGGTTAATTTGGGGGCAAGGGATCAAAGGTTAGAAGCCCCAATGATTCAAGGCCCACAAAGGGAAATTATGGAACCAGGGGCAAGGGTCGAAAGGCTAGAAGTCCCAGAATTTCGAGAAGAACAACCTAGAGGGGTTGTCATGGTGGGTTGAAATCAAGATGCTGATGCAGTCGTTCACAGAATTCGAAACGATAACATCTTGGCAGAAAATAATTTAACCACCATGATAGAGAGAATCATGACCAAGAATGGCCTCAACACAGGAATTGGAAGGCCAAATTATGCCTCCCCTATATTAGATTACATAATGCACACCGATTTACCAAGGGGATATAAAGTCCCTAAGTTTACAAAGTTTGCTGGGGATACCAATGAATCAACAGTCGAACACATAGCCAGGTATCTAACCGAAGCAGGAGATATAGCCAATAATGAAGACCTTAGGATCAAATATTTCCCAAGTTCCCTGACTAAGAACGCTTTCACATGGTTCACCACTTTACCTCCTGGGTCCATTGATACTTGGGCTTTTTTGGAGAGATTATTCCATGAACAGTTCTACATGGGGCAATCAAAAATTAGTCTGAAGGAACTAGCCAGTGTCAAGAGGAAGTTTACTGAACCCATAGATGATTATCTGAATAGATTCAGGCTCTTGAAATCTAGATGTTTTACAGTAGTTCCTGAACATGAGTTAGTCGAAATGGCTGCTGGCGGCCTGGATTACTCTATTCGAAAGAAATTAGACACTCAATACTTGAGGGATATGGCTCAATTAGCCGATAGGGTTGGACAGGTCGAAAGGCTAAAGGCCGAAAAGGCCAGAGTTTTTAAAAATAATAAAAAAGAAAGGGTCTCCTATGTTGGAACTGAGAAAACAGAAGATTATCCTGAATTCGAATTTGAAGAGGTCGAAATCGACCTCGCTGAATTAAAACAGGCACCCCCTTACTCCTGCAAATTATTAGTTCCCACAAAAGGGAAAGAAATTGTTGAAAATGAGAAAAGTGACAAATTCCCAAAGAAGGTTTATACCTTCGATGTAACTAAGTGTGACGAGATCTTTGATTTACTTGTCAAAGATGGCCAACTCATTGTGCCATCAAATGTCAAAATACCTCCTTTAGATCAAAGGAAGAAAAGGGGATTTTGCAAGTATCATAGTTTCCTAGGCCACAAGACCTCACAGTGTTTTCTTTTCAGGGACCTAATTCAGAATGCAATTAAAGATGGCAGACTGAAATTCGTTGATAAAGCAAAAATGAAGGTGGATGAAGATCCTTTGGATGTCGCGGACACCAATTACTCCGAGCCTGCATGCATTGGGGAAATTAACATGGTGGAAGCTGATCAAAATGACGCTCCAGTAGGAGAGAAAGGTACTGAAAATGAAAGTTGGGTGTTAGTCGAAGTCAACAAGGGGGTCACTGAAGACGTCCACAAGCAACCAGAAACTTCGATCGAAGCAGCACCTTTAGCATATCGACATATTTCAGGTTAGCTTAGAAAGAAGTTGGATGACAAGGGGGAGATGATGTTAATTGTTAGGTATCATCTTACTAGTGGTTATAATTTGTTTGATGTTGAAAATAAAAGGATCGTGATCAGCCAGGATGTCATTGTCGATGATCTGAAGCGCGTCAAGCTGCCTGAAAAAT